GTAAACTGCATGCAGACATCCAACATAGAGTTGAAGAAACTAGTGTATCTGTACGTAATAAATTACGCAAAGGTGCAACCAGAATTAGCCATCCTAGCAGTAAACACCTTCCGGAAAGACTCATCCGACCCAAACCCCCTCATCAGAGCACTCGCCATAAGAACCATGGGGTGCATCAGGTTAGAACAAATTACAGAATATCTTATTGAACCGTTAAGAAGATGTTTAAAGGATGAAGATCCCTATGTGAGGAAAACAGCCGTCATTTGCATCGCCAAATTGTACGATATATCCCCAAAGCTAGTGGAAGAAGAAGGCTTCATAGATACGCTCCTAAATATATTGGATGACAACAACGCCATGGTAGTAGCAAACGCAATTATTTCCCTAACAGACATATGCGAAAATTCAAACAAAAGTATATTAAAGGATGTGATAAATAAAGATGAAAATAATGTCAATAAACTCCTCAATGCAATAAACGAGTGTGTAGAATGGGGACAAGTATTCATATTAGATGCCCTAGTTCTGTACGAACCAAAATCCAGTAAAGACGCAGAAAGGGTATTAGAAAGAATACTTCCCAGATTATCCCATGCCAATTCCGCAGTTGTTCTTTCATCCATTAAAGTTATCCTAAGCCTGTTAGACAAAATTAATGATAAAGAATTCATCAAAACTGTGCACAAGAAGTTAAGCCCATCATTAGTCACTCTCCTATCAGCAGAACCAGAAATACAATACATAGCATTAAGGAACATAAATTTAATAACGCAAAAATTGCCACATATGCTAGTCGATAAAATTAACATGTTTTTCTGTAAGTACAACGAACCTACATATGTAAAAATGGAAAAGCTAGACATCATAATTCGTCTCGTTTCAGACAAAAATGTGGATCTTGTCCTTTACGAATTGAAAGAATATTCTACAGAAGTAGATGTAGAATTTGTAAAAAAAAGTGTTCGAGCAATTGGCAGTTGTGCTATTAAGTTACCCCAATCCAGTGAAAAGTGTATTAACATTTTACTAGATTTAATAGATACAAAAATTAATTATGTCATTCAAGAATGCATAGTAGTAATAAAAGACATCTTTAGAAAGTACCCAAATAAATACGAAAGTATTATCACAATTCTGTGTGAAAATTTAGAATCGCTAGATGAATCTAATGCCAAAGCGTCTCTCATTTGGATCATAGGAGAATATGTGGAAAGAATTGAAAATGCTGATGAATTGATAGATTCCTTTTTAGAAAATTTTATCGACGAACCATACAATGTACAATTACAAATATTAACTGCTAGTGTGAAATTATTTTTAAAATGCTCAAAAAATACAAAAGATATTATTACCAAAGTGTTGAAATTGTCCACCGAGGAAAGTGACAATCCTGATCTAAGAGATAGAGCATTTATCTACTGGAGATTATTATCTAAAAATATAGAAATTGCGAAAAAAATTGTACTAGCAGAAAAACCACCTATACAAGAAGAAAATAAAATTACAGATACTAGGGTTCTAAATAAATTGATTAAAAATATTTCTATGCTCTCTTCTGTTTATCATAAACTTCCAGAAACCTTCATTTCCAAAAAGGCCAATTATGCCTTTAATAATGACAAAGACGATGACGATGATGATAGCCGTATTGATAATGCGGATGACTACAACTCTTCTAGATTTAGAAAACAAATGGAAAGACATAGATATGACAGCTACTCTAGTGAAAGTAGAATGTCCAACCGCTCCAGGTCCTCCAGCGAATCATCTAATAACTCATCTGATGATCTTAATGATGATGAAGACGTAGATGATAGTAAGAAATCTATGGACCTGATTGGGCTCAATGATGATGAAGCTACTAACGCAAAACCAAGGCGAACTGCTCCTCCGGTTAAGTTAGTCCAAGTTCTATCTCCAGAAGATACTGGCTTGAAGGGACAAACGGGCTTATCCATTTTGTCCTCCATAAACCGTGTTGAAGGTATGTCATTTCCCCTCTTTTGCATTGCCATGTGGCGTGCATGTGCATGCGTTCAAGAAATGTGATCACATGAGCAGACGCACGAAACACTCTATAGAAGCGTTTTATCGTGTGCACCCATTTTGTGTGATAACATGTGTTCCAACTTGTGTATATTCCTCACCGCCTCTTATGTGCCTAACCCACTTGTATAATATATTCCTCTCATACGCTACCCCATCCAAACCCCCTTCTGCAGGCAAGATCCAACTAAAAATCGCCGTAACCAACCAGACGCCAACCCCCGTTGTTATATCAGGAGTGCAAATAAACAAAAATTCGTAAGCACACAAAAACGCATTGAGAAAAACAAGGGACGGGGAAGGACATGGAAAAATGCTTCCACGGACACTCCGTTCCCGCTCACTAATGGATGCTCATTCTTCTTCGTATAGTAGCAACCCATTGTGCACATATTTATCACCGTTCTTCTGTTCCTCCTCTCTCGTCAGATTTGGACTCTCATCGCCGAACAGTCTGGACATCCAAAATATTTCCTTCGGAGAAACAAAAGGTAAGTTGTGGTAGTACGAATGGTCAGACACTTACTCATCTGGTCCATCAAGAAAACTCCCCCCTTGTTTAAACAAAAGATTTTTAAAATTGCCTCATTTTCGAGTATCTTATTGCCCCTTCAAAATAATTTCCGCCCTTTTCTCCACCCCCTTTCAGAAATTTTAATTTTGCTTGTTCCCAATATGCTAAATTCGAACACACCCCCGTCCACGCCTCTATTTTTACAAGTGAGTTGAAAATCTCGTCGATGATTTTTTTTTTTTTTTCCACTCCCCACCTGATAAGTTGCAAAGTGCTTAACTTAACCGCACTTGTTTAATGGCCGTTTGCTTTTCCGCCCCTTGCACCCATTAGGTCGCCATAAAAACGAGCATCGACATTTTTTACTTCAACGTGCCGTATGACATCTTCATCGTTTTCGTTGAAAATTTCAAAATGGAGAAGGACATTTTCAAGAAGAAATGGCAGCTCATTGAGGATTCGAAGGAGGTACACTGAAAATACATGTATCCTATTGGACGAAGCTTACAACTGCATACTATGTACGGCTATACTTTTATGTACATCCATTTGACTTTACCCCTCTTTTAACTTCTTAACCTTTTCGTAGAGCATACTTATGGCTTCAAGTCCCATGGTTATTACCTCCGAAATACTAATCAAGAGGATGAAGATATTTAACATTTCGCTAATAGCTCGAAGGAATGTGAATAACATGGTAAGTGATTTTGTTAAAAACGGGGTTGTTACTCTTGTAACGTGATTAACCACTGCTTGGTGCATTTTCCTCTTGAATTTAGCTAAGTGAACAGCTCGATCGCTTCACTGGCATGAGAAGCTCTTTGTACACCGATCCGTCACAACATTGCTCATTTTGTTCCCTCCCTCACACACACGCAGGAACTGTACTACTTCGCCTGCCTAACGACGAACAATCTCGTTATTCTGAGCGAAGTGGCCATTCAGCCTGAAAAGAAAGTTGTTAAGCTGTGCGTCAGGACAGATTCTACATCAGTGGTAAGGACTAACTGCCTCGCCCCAGCACATGATGCAAAGGGCATTATGTGCAAACACGTTTAATCACGCAAAGGAACACTAAATGGATCATATTTTTACCTGCTGCACAATTCCACTAACGAATCTTTTGTGTATTTTTTTTCTCCACCTATTACAGATACCTCTGTACAAGCTTCTCTTCGTCAAGGCCTTTTCGTTGAGCGTGACGCCAACATGAGCAATGGTTAAGAAGCGATATATAACAGGTGAAGAAGGGACCCCCCCCTCGTGTTTTCTACTTTTACGATACCATCATTTTTGCCCTTTTGTTTTGCCCATTTTGACGCATATATAAAACCGCCTGTTTACATTGTGTACACTTATTGTAGGCTTGTCCCATTTGTTTTTTTCTTTTTTTCTTCTGTTTTTTCACCCCTTTTTTATATATACATACCATTGTTTACATGTGCGTATGCGACATATACGTGCGTGTGAACTGCGGAAACTTTTTAGTCTACTTTTTACCCTCCGATGAAATTATAACACACGAATACTTTTCAATCGTTTCATTTTTGTTCGACTTGTGCGGACCATTTTCGCATCCTCCTCCGGCCTATGCAACAGCGCCTTGGTAGGTAAAATATAAGGGCTCCACATCGAATGTTAAAAACGGTTATATATTCCTTTTGCGCCATTAGCAATTCACACATATATAAATCCTCTAAAATGGCGGAACTGGGTGATGGGATTGGCAGAGGGAGAAGAAACAACTTGTGTTGACTTCTTAACCTGCCATGTGTGTACAGGTTGTAGCATTTGGTCATGAACACCCGAGATGTTAAATTATGCGTGGCGTACAAAAAAAAAAAACAGGTGCATGATGTAATTTGTTCGGCCAAGGGTTGAAGTCGAGGTGGAGATGTGGGAAGTTTCTCTTTTTTTTTTTTTTTTTTTTTTTTAATAAAAAGGATTATTCCATTTTTTAAGGGCACTTCACCTATAGGAAGATAAACCTGAAAACGAAGCCTACCTGGCATCGTAGTGTTTTTTTTTTTTTTTTTATCTTATGCGATGAGCACAAAACGTTACAGTAAAGTGAAATACTGCGTGACACACTTAAAGCATTTGAGCGCCTTCGTTTTTTACTCGTACTTTTTTTAGCATACGTATATATATATATTTTTTTGTTTGTTTTCCTCCTTGATGAAATATCCTCATTGTATGGCTAAAGGTGAAGGGAAAAGTTCATCTCACTGCTATACCGATTTGCACAAAAGTTGATACATAGCATAATAGCGAAGCGCGCTAGAAACATATTGGAGAGTATTCTTTTCTGAAACCATCTTGGCCACGCGCCGATTTTAATCAGATCTGCGAGTCATTCCCTAAACAGATCGTAGGCAGCGCGGCTATCACATCCGGTATTGCGTGTTATCACAACTGACGAAGCAACGGCACAAAAATGGAGAGCGCCCACCTGGATAGGCTCAATTACGACTTTAGAATAAAAGACGTCACCACCATAAGGGACATCAATTTGCAAGCCAAGGAAAACAACATTGAACATTTTCACAACCAAATCTTACTAAATGAAGAAAAGAATTTTTTAAAAAGAACCGGTTTGTTATACGGAAGTCAGGAAGTATTTAAACATATAATGGATAGGGACATCGTGGCCATGTCCAGAAGGTTGCCAGGAATAAAGAGCAGTATGTTATCCCTGGATGTCCTCCGAAATTCCATCGATCGGATAGAGGCGCACGAGTATATGGAGAATCTGTCTCACTATACACTAGAGCCAGTGAGCGAAATTATTGAGCGCAAGATGAATATTTAGGGTGCGTAGGGAGTGAAGAGGAAACAAAATGGAGAACCTGTTCGCAGGCGTCCCTTTTTTAATATGGTAGCATGTCATGGTGCTCTTTTTGCGCAACTTAGCACGCGCACATGTATCAGTTTTGCAGACATGTAGCGATTACAATCGCCTATGTGCTAAAAAAAAAAAAAAAGAAAAAATTTCGTAAAAGTATACGTATATAACAGATAACCATGTTGTGTCGTTTTTATGTAACCCCTTTTTCATTTGTTCACTGGTTATATTTTTTTTTTTTTTTATTTTGTTTTATTTTTTCAACAAATACACTAGTGAAACGGGAACCACCCTCACAAAATTAATTTCTTAAAACCAGTGTAGCACGGTGTAGGTACGCCAAAAAAAAGTGCAACCCCTGTAATGTTTAGCGTTCCTCCTTGTGGGGCCTGCGCAATTGTATGCATACTTACAATTTTCCCCTACCAATCCCCCGTGTATGCGTGCATATTATTATGCTTGTTACTGCTAGAGAGAATGTCCTTGTTGGTGAAGGATATCTGCTTGTTTCTCTGGCTCTCTAATTTGGAGCACTGGGTGATTCTGTGTCCAAGGCCACCACAGTAGGAGCAGCCCTTGACACCTCCGATTTCCTTTAAGTTGATTCCTTTGCTGTCAAGCATTTCTAGAAAGGGTGGAATCTTCTGCTTAGCTTCAATCAATAAAGCTTTTAGATCTAACAAAATGGCTTCTTCCTGATTCTTATTAATAAATGTTGTAGCGATTCCAGTTTTTCCACATCTACCAGTTCTACCAATTCGATGTACATAATTTTCTATATCCTTTGGCATGTCATAATTAATAACATGTTCAATGGATGGGAAATCCAACCCTTTCGAAGCGACATCTGTTCCTACTAGTATATCTTTTTTCCCTTCCCTAAACAAATTAATCGCTTCCTGCCTCTCTGTCTGACCTAAATTTCCATGAATAGCAATTGCATTCACCCCCTTCAATAACAAATACTCATGCACATCATCCACATCTTTCTTGTTTTCACAAAAAATTAAAACGGGGGGCCCTGTTTTCTGTAGCACTTCTAACAGGTAAGATAGTTTCAATTCTTCTTTCACATATTCTACTTCTTGTATGACGTCCAAGTTAGCTGCACCAGCTCTTCCAACATTGATGATTATTGGATTTACTAAAGTGGATTTGGCGAACTCTTGTATCTTCTTTGGCATGGTTGCACTAAAGAGTAACGTTTGCCTTTGTCTCGAAAAATGATCTAAAGTGTTACGTACTTCTTCTTCGAACCCTAAATCAATTAACCTATCCGCTTCATCAAAGCAAAGGTATCTACACTGCTCAAGGGTCATTCGTTTTTTATTTAACATATCATTTAATCTACCGGGGGTTGCCACAATCATGTGCAATCCTTTTTGTATTTCTCGTCCCTGATCAAAAGTACTTACTCCTCCAATCATACACAAACTCCTTAACATTGGATAATTATCCTTATGTAGAAATTCACAAAGATACTTTATAACATTATGCGTTTGTGTTGCTAGTTCTCTTGATGGACATATGATAAGGCCCAGTGGTCCTTCCCCCTCCTCAATTGGACATCGTAGTTCTCCTTCCAAGCAAATCATAACCAAAGGTAGAACGAAAACAAGCGTTTTCCCACTCCCCGTAAATGCAATTCCAATGATGTCTCTACCAAGTAGGATGGATGGTAATCCCTGCATTTGTATTTGTGTAGGTTTATCAATTTTTTTTTTTTTCAAAGCTTTTAAAATGGGCTTGGGAAATTTCATGTCACGAAAGTTTTTAATAGGTGGTGGAATATCACTTCCACTTACGTCGATATAAAATACGTTTCTCACTTTACTCACGTACTTATCACTTAGCACCTTATACTTGCTTGGTAGCGTCCATATGGTCTTGAAGTTCTCATTATACACAATACCTTTCGCTCTTTCCTTTACAGATTGTAGTGGTGCATTTAACGCTTTGGACACCTGTGCTAATATTTTCTCCTCATTTTTCCGAATCTCTTCTGTCTCGTCCACTTCATTGTTTTGTGCCTGCAATTTCATTTTGTAGAATGTCTCCAGGAGACTCTTCTGCATGTTTACCTGTACTGGGTTTTGATTATTTGTGTCCTTGGAAGATTTCTTTTTTTTTTCCTTACCATCTTTTTTACGCCTGTCCTGCTCATCCTGATGATCTCCATTTTCTGCCCCACTGGAATTTTCACTTGAGTGATTTTTCTCGCTACCCTCTGCGTCTTCTTCCCCCTCTTCTTCGTGCTCCACCTCCTCCTGCCTCTTCTTCTTTTCACTTAAAAAGCTATTCACCAGGTTATCCACGAACCTCTTCTTTCGTACGCTCCTGGGTTCGTAAACAAATTCGCTGCTGCTACTGCTGTCGGCTCCATCGTTGTCGCCGCCTCCCTCATCCTTGCCTTCGTTTAGCTTCCCCATTATTTATAGGCGCTATCTTCCTGGTATATTTTACATGTACATGCATTTATATGCAATGGTGTTTTTGCGTATTTGAATGTAAACATACACTCGTGCGCCGCAGGGTTTGGGCGGAAATCAAGCGCAGCCCTAAGTTCCCAAGTATGGCCCCTTTCAGGACAAGCCCTAACAAATGTCGCTCTACAATTACTTTAACTAAATATTTTTACGCATTCATATGTATTTACTCGCCTATATGTCATGCTGCGCAGAACAGTTTTCGTCTTCATGTCGTCCTCCCTTCGTAGTCCAGAATGATCGAGCATTCGGAAAAAAAGAACTACCCCCTAAATGTATAACTTAGGCCTAAAAATGGCATATTTCAGTCGAAGAAAAATGGGGCAATTTTTTTTTTTTTTTTTTTTTTTTTTTCTGCACCACACCATAGTTACCAAATGGTGAATAAAAATGTGCCCCCCATTTTGAAAAAAAAAAATAAAATAAAATATAAATGCTAAGGAGTGATGCAGAAACAAGAGACTAAGCATTTGCGCTCTCCAAACTTGATGCCCATGTTAGTCATTCAACGCGGTAATTATGTTCCCTTTTTTTATGTTCCTCTGTTTCACTATCCTTAAGACCATCCCCCAGCTTACATAGGACAGTACAAAAACGGTCACATCTTAATTATGCGTAGGAAATTGAAACATGTGTCAGAAACACTTAGGACGTTCCTCATGAGGGAGTGTACGGGGAAAAAAGTACAAGTCCGAATTTATCACAATAGCGGGGTAGGAGGATCCAATTTCTAATCGCGTTGAAGTACGTAAGACGTACCAACCCTATACGATCAACAAGACGGACGCACTGTCACGAGAGCTGTACCAAAATGGTGCCAAGTCTAAATGATGTTAAAAAAATGGAAAGTGGCCATAGTTGGAGGTGACGTAAAAATGAAAATGCATAGCCTGGCCGAGGAATAACACGCAACAGCGGAGTGGTATGCCTAATAAAGAAACTGCCACCCGTAAGGAGTAACATAACACCATCTGTGTTGTATTTAATTGCGGAAACGAATTGGTTAAGTAGCATCGTACTCGCCTAAAGTTATTCCCACATTAAAATATAATAACAAGGATTTTCCGTTTCCTTATGTCCACTTGTTACACCGCACAAGTCGCTAATAACACACGGTGGACTCAGGTAACTTGTGCGTGTTACGTCCCCTGGACAAATGAACGGACACATAGAGAGTAGCAACGACGAATGGACTTTTTCCAAACGTTGTTAAGATAAAAATGGAAGGAAATATCAACCATGACAAATGGCAATCGGTTTATACTCCCCAACATGAATTCACATTAATTCGATGACTTTGGGGGGAAAATAAAACATACATCGAATGAGTACTATTCGACCGCATGTTGTTCCCCTTATGGTCACTTCGCATGATAACTTCACACCGTAATGAACTACCCACAGTGTACTAGTATTTTCCCTCATTATGAAAATTAAACACAGTGGCATGGAGGAAAGGACTCCAGCATTATGACAGTACCTTGTCGCATTTGCATCAGAACAGTGTACAATTCCATGGGGGAAAGTTCTTTTCCCTCTTTTTTTTTTTTTTTTCCTACTATATTATTCATATGGGGCATAAATCCCCCTTTGTTACGGCAAAACGCGATCGACACATTTGTGCAAGTATGCGTACCCGTCACAACACCTGCGTGGGAAGAAGATATCTGCACACACACGTGTCCATTATACAATTGTTATAACTGTCGGGAGCCGGCTTCGTCATCGCAATGGCCATTTTACGAGGTACCCAAAAGGGTAAAAGACTGTCTCAAGGGGAAGACCTGCGGCGCGGTGTGATCTGCGAATATCCGCTGTTGAGTCAACCGACAAGGGAAGGGAAAAAAAAAAAAAAAATTCGAATAAAATGGAAACAAATATACCGTTCACCTCCCAAAAATATGACCAAAAATTTAAAAAAAAAAAAAAAATTATTTTTTCAAAACGTTCGAGAAAAATATCCATGTGAAACCATCACTGGAAGTGCAAACTTCGCCTTATGGTGGATTTTAGAAAAATGCCGTTTTTAAATAATCAGTGTTTTTTTTTTTTTTTCAAAAGATCGCAATAAATACGCGAACTAACAAATCATGCATATGTAGGATGGATTAACAAGAAAAGGAAAGAAAAAATCAACACTGCATTTGGAAAAAAATTATAAAGAAAAATGCCCATGCGGCATGGAAAACCAAAAGTGTTACAGTTAAAAAAATATATCGAAGGAACGAATTTACATTTAATGAATACATTTTCTTTAACATATAATGGTAATTATTATACGTACAGTGTTGGAAAAAAGGTGAAGAATTTAATTTTTTCTTTTCTTTGTTGCGAATGCGAAGCGACTATGTGCTTTCCGATTTTTCGGTGCATGCAGGAGCAAAGAAGGTGGAGGTTCTGTCGGAAATGCCTATTATAGCACGGGTGCCCGAGTGGTTAAGGGGGTGGACTTAAGATCCTCTGGTCACTAGACCGCGTGGGTTCGAACCCCACCTCGTGCAGATTTTTTGACTTCATAAACGATTTATATAATTTGTTCTTACATTGTTAATTAAAAAGAGGGTCATATTTTATTGCATATAACAGAAATGTTACTACACTTTCTCATTAATGATGGCCTAGCTCGTGCTCGCCTTACTTTTTTTTTTTTTTTTTTTTTGTTTTTTCAACTAGTATGTTAAGCCAAAATAGTGTTCATGGTATTATAAAATGTGCCCACATGTACATAAGGCATGCGCGCACAAAATATTCACATACTTCTATTTATGTAATATATGTTGCGGGGGGCATTTTTAACTCATAAAAATGCATGAACCCAGAATGACCCTTTATTTTCCCCCCAGTTTGACACCAAACGTGCGTCGATAAACATTGGGAACACAGAGGGTCCATTTTGAAAAGAAACACTTGTTAAGTTTTCATCATGAACTAAGCAAATTCAATTATTGGATGATCATTCATTTTTTCATGTCTCCAATTTGGGTTGAACTGTCCAGGTGTGGCACAAATCTGGCACTATGGATTCCTTTGCAGGGGGTTGGGTTTACCCGTAACTACCATATTCCTTTTTACATTTCATATTTTATGCGGCCACCAGCTACACCCCGGTACACACGACGCACACAAGTTTGTGAGGAGGATGGGAATGGCCATGACCGTTCCCTCCCAAAGCACAAATTACAAAACTTGGTATGATAGTAATGACCTACATTTTGGTTGTAGTAAATGCGTTACAAAGGGTGTCCTCAATTGCTCACTGATTGATTACACGATGGATGCATGCAGGATAAAGAATGTTAAGTGACCTCCATTAACTTAAAAAGGACGAACTTTTACGCAACAATAAAATGCGGTTTTAAAAAAGGTAATTAAAAATGAAAGTCCTCACTTTATGTTCCCAAGCTATGCATCTGTGCGCGTGTACAATTTGCGTTGTGCGTAAATAAAAGGATGAAACAAACGTATAGTCACACTGGCATTTGTTGTAACAAGGTAAAATAAATGTATACACGAAGCGTCGTTCTTTATCTGTCGCTTATATTAAACTTTCGCTTTCGTAAAAAAAACGGTCCTATATTATATTAACCAAATTTGTTGCCCTGCTTTTTTTTAACTACAAATTGTGGGGCAAAATGGGCAACTTTTTGGTTAATCTTTTTTCAGCCATTAAAAACTGTTCAAAATTGTTGAAATGTGATGCAATATGCACAATATAACATTTTTGTTCGCTTTAAAATCGTCAAATTATACATTTGTTAAAAAAAAAAAAAGTCTAAAGAATATTGTTAAATAATTTTCTTTTTTAAAAAAATATTTTTTTGTTTTTAACTTTATAATTTTTTTTGTACGTTTTTCCCACGCCGGGACTCGAACCCGGGTCGTTCGGGTGAAAGCCGAATATCCTAACCGTCTAGACTACGTGGGATTCATTTATTACTCAGCACGTATTTATCATACATGTACTCAGTTCGCACAAGTAATATTGGCCAAAAAACAAACAGAAAAAAATCCTTTTTTGTATTTAATTATGAATGAGTACAAAACGTTGACAAAAATTCCGAGAGTGTCAAAATATTTAAACAAATTGTATTCCGCGAACTCTACAAGGCGAGGAAAAACCGCATGCACAGTGTACCGCTATACGCGCATAAATTGTAGCAATGGTAGTAACTCTTGCAAATGTACGAAAACGTAGAAAAAGTAAAAAATCTTAATGGCAAAAGTGTACAGCAATTTCTAATTATAAAATGTGAGCAATCGATTGCTTATTAGCACATATTGTCAATGCACACACGTAATGCTAGCAGTACCTATGAAAGTCCTAGAAATATGAGGAAAACGTCCTAGGGAAGCCTAGCATTGTCTTCGCAACGTACATGCAGACTGAACAAAAAAAAAAAATTCAGAAAAATTCGAAATGTTGTACATGTTAAAATTTAGCTGCCTTCTTTTATTTGTACAAAATCGACTCTTTTTGCTTTTTTAAAAAAGAATTCATGATTTATATTTGTCCGGATCTCCCATCTGTTGTTACATTTGTCCGTGCTGTTGTACGGTCCAATTATTTTTTGCAGTCGACCAGCGTATGCACGAGTATGCGCTTGTGAAATGTATGCAATAGTGCACTTGTAGCAACAGCGTTTCTCCGCTATTATGCTTTAGATTTTCTTCCCATTGTCCACTACGATATGCCACCGCCGAATTGCCATAATTCGACACACGTTCTGTGTGCACATGTGTACGCATTTCGTCATACATCTTTCTTCAAAACATTAATACTTTGTCGGAGCGCACTCGTGGACTGGCCACTTGGGGTGCGTGTAACAACTGTATATGCAGGAGCTGCGTATGAAACAGCAGTGTATACAGCCGTTAGCGGAACAAATAAAAAAAAAAAAAAAGGTGTTTTTTTTTTTTTGCAATGAAATTGAATAATTGTCGAACGTTCTTTCTAACACGATTGGTACTTCTTTCTATTCCCTTCCCTTTGCTTATATTTCTATCTGATTTGTTCTGTTCAATTATTTTTCCTTCTCAACATTACTGTCTGACATTTCGAAGTTGACAAAACACCACACCCCTTGTACCAAAAATGAACAAAATAATAAACTATATGAACGTTCAAATAAATATAATTTCATTTCGTGAACATTAATGTCACAAAATCGAATACTTACTCCTTTTGTTCGCATCGTTATGTGCACCACGGATGGGCACACTTGCTTACAAGCAGATTATCCCATTCGACTGTACCCTATTTTGTTCGTTTCGAAATTGTTATATACACAGCAGTCCAACCATTGTGTGGGTAATTTTGCTTGAAGTTTCCCATTTCCACCCTTTTATTTCATCGTCATTAACTCGATTTGAGAATTCTGTTCGTCCTGTTCAACGAAGAAACTTCTGCCCTCCCCCTCAAGACAATCTACACGTGCGTGTGAGTGTATTTACGTGTATATTTGTGCATTTGTGAGTGAATCAAGGGGCGCTGGTGTCACAGTCCACGGTGTGCAACCCTGCATATGCACGTATCTAGATGCGCGCGTAGTCTCTCTTGTGTGCCTGCATGAGCTAGAGAGATGCAGAAGCAACTCCTGCTATGCCTACTCATTTGGACTGGCATCCCGTTACTCACCAAATTTCACATCCTCTACATGTACAATTCTTCATTCACAGCTGAAGGAAAGTCCCATTTTTAGTTTTCCTCAAAAAAATATGCAAAGTATTAACAGCATATCCAACACAGAGCAGCTGCTTCATTTCTTCGATTCACTCATAGCTGACGGATATATCGTAATGAACAAAATAGAACAACAAAAAAAAATACATACATATGTACATATAAATCAGTACAAATGTGTTGGAGATACAATGACATAGCGTTATTCCAGAGTGCCGTTTTGCATTCTGTTCCTTGCGTCTGTCTATACATGTGTGCAGTATGCTTGCAACTTGCGCACATGAAGAGAATGTTACGAGTCACGAAGATTGAGCGTCATTAGTGCTGTACCAATGTGTACCAAACGTGGATCACCTTTTTGACTCACTGAACCACGAGAATACATTCCTGCCTGCTGCTCATGTCACGTAGCTTACACTTGTCATGTGGACACGTTCGCATACATATGAGTGTATATTATGTGTGTTGTGCAACGCCGTCAACAGTAAAGTTAAAATGTTTTGACCTTTGTTAGAGGACCCCCTCAAGCAAACATTCCCTCTTTTGCTATTTAGATTACCATCCTCGGCATCAAACATGTGTTGAAGTTATCTTCAGAGTTGTGTCAAAAGTAGGTCAACACAATTCACACACCCCTGTGCATGCTTGTGTTCATACGCTAATGCATTTAGTGTGATTATCTGCTGCAACATATCGTCTGAAAAGAACAAAAAAAAAAAAAAAAAAAAAAAATTGTAATTTTTTTTAATTCCTCCTGTGTATGTATGAGCCGTCCGTGTTGTCCTTTCCCTGCTCGTCCAATCAGCTACTCTGCGTTGAAGACTCTCCTTTCGCATTCTTCTCTGTTATGCAGATTCATCCTGTACTACTTCAATCAAAGGAAGGACCAATTGCGCCCAACGTATTTGGTTCAAGGATTTAATAATAGCAAGACCAAGTACACCTGTTCCATTTTTCACCAACAAGATGCTATGAGTAATGGCTGTTCTACATCGCGCCACAGGAGCAGTGGTGACGGGTGTGGCTGTAGCATCAGTTACCCCTTCCCATACCCGCATGAACATTTTTATGTCACTTTTATAAGGGGTTCCCCACTTTGAAAAAATTCATCTCTGCCTCCCCCCCACCTCATACACACACCCGTTAGAAATGTTAAGAGACGGTAACTACAGCGTAAATATTTACAGCGTCCAGTCGAATAAGACCATGGCAAATTTGTCCGCACTATGGAAGCAGGTAAAATGGCACGCTTCACTTGAGCATGTGTTGTTACGTGTAAAGTTGTGGTCCCAGTGGTGCTTAATGAAGGGACCACTTCTTCTACATATTCGTGTCTCTGTTCATTCGGACTTATTTTAAGATTTTATTTCGCACTGCTCAAATGGCTCCTCCGTCCAGGAACTACAAGAGATCCGCAGGACATATCAGAAGGACGTACGCGGACAGCCCATCATCCCGCAGTAAGCGCATGTGCATATGCACATTAGTTTAGGCTGTAGTGTGTAGTGGAATGAGACAGTTAATCTGCTAATCCATGTGAGGTACATTGGAGATGCTTCCTTCCCCCTCCACACACACGAACATACAAACATGCCCCTTGTAGATTTTCCACCATGCTGCTCAGGGATGTGAAGACAAAAATAAACGCATATTCCGCCAACTCATGTTATCAATTTCCTCACATTATGTACATGGCTGAGGAAAACGTTGCTGCGACGGAAGCTGAAAAAAATATCAACCGCCTGCCTAGTATAGGCCACGCCAGTACTTATGAAAAGAAAAATGCAAATAGAGGCAAGATTTGTACCAAATTGAGAGGTGGATTTTATGAATGTATAGATACATATTTTAGAAAGAAGACACCTCAAGAAGAAAAAGTTAATCCTTTTCAACCCAAAGGGGGCAACGCATCTAAGGCTCTAGCTACACAGGGCATGGGGGAAATGATGGACTCAAATTACGTGCATAATGTGGCTCGTCACAATTATGGGACCAAAATGGACAGCAATAATTTTAGAAAAAACGTTACTGGCATGAATTATGGACAGAATGTTCATCGTCTGAACTTTCAGCCCAGCCTGAATCAGAGCAACTTCGAAAATGAAGTGAATCATTACAACCTCATAAATAAGGTGAACCACAGCAACTTCGAAAATGACGTGAAACATTACAACCTCATAAATAAGGTGAACCACAGCAACTTCGAAAATAAAGTGAACCACAACAACTTTGAAAATAAGGTGAATCACAGCAACTTCGAAAATAATGTGAACCACAGTAACTTCGAAAATCAGGTGAATCACTACAACCTCAGAAGTAAGGTGAATCACACCAACTTGGACAACAACGAGAATGACACCAACTTTGAAAACAACAACTGGAAGTCCTTCATGTCGCGTATGATTCAAAGTACGAATGCAAGAATCGCTGAGAACAATATGAGGGACAAAAAAAATTATGGCAGGAAGCGAAAACCGAACAGCCATGCTTTTGTTACCAACTTCAGACAGGATTATCCTGTGGGAAATATAATATACAGAAATCAGAACAAATTCAACATGGGCCACATACCAAAGGCTGGCACGGTGGTGGTCACTATGAACAACGCGCGCAAGGAACATGAAGCTCTGGTCATGCCAAGCAGAGCGAGTACGGGTTAGGCAGCAATTAGTCCGTTTCGCTATGCGCATACTGACTTACATTCGTGTGTTTAGTTTTTTGTGTGTCTACCTACGCACTCGTTGGTGGAGCCCACCGCGAGTTTCAGCGGCCAACTTTGTATCAAATAAAAATGCCAATGCAACTTCTTCTCCCCTTTGATCCAAAACAGGGAGAAGAGAAAACGACGTGCTCAGAGAAATCTTTGAATATGACGAGAGGCAAATTAAACTGGAAGGTAAAGCCCACCGATTGATAATGAAAAAAAAAAAAACAAAAAGGAATGAACTGGCACGTTAGTGCGTGAGGCTGTGCACATAAAAATGCGCACAAGAAAGGGTCACAATGCTATGAACATGTATTACACTTGCTCCTACAACAGTCTATTGCATGGTCAGACCAGCTCTACCTTGTTGTGTGCATACATTTCTATCCACATGGAACATTCGTTGTTTCACCTACCGCCCATTTGCAGGGTCAAATAGTAACCTCAACTCAGGGATGCTGGATTATAATAGCTCACTCTGGGAAGATGGTAAAAAGGAAAAAAAAAAAAAAAAAAAAAAAAAGTGAAATTACAAATTGAGTGTTTTTCCCACACCTACGGGAATGCACTCCAATAATTCTTTATCCACTTTTTCACCACCTGCACTTTAATTTGCCATTTTTGTTCCCCTGTACAGAATCAACGGAGAAGGATTTTGCCAGCAAAATCGTGTGCACCGAGCAAGAAGCGCAAGAGGTGATAAAGGCAGTTAATTGGGTAATTTTAAAAAACAATTACTCATGTGTATAAATAAAAACCGGGTGCAACATTTTGTATCATTCGTTCTAACGGCACAATGCTATTTTTTTTTTTTTTTTACTCCACATGTGTCCCTTTTGTAGCAGGAAGATGGTGTAGACATGTTTTTTGAAAATGGCTACTTCGTTGTGGTTGATAAAAGCATCTCTAAGAGGAATGAAGCCCTAGAATGGTATGAAGGGGAGAACAAGGAAAACGCCAATGAAAACTACCCCTTCGAAAATAAGAATAAGAAGGAGTCTCAACAGACATTATTGACGTAAGTGCAGATGAAACGGACATGTGCGTTAGCACGTGTCTGTGAATAATAATATCGAAGAGGGGCATAATGCCTCAGTGAGCTTCCCCCTTACATGCATTGCTTTTGTAACTTTTTTTTTTTTTTTTTATTGGTACGCTCCCTGGACATTGTCTGCTTTACTTTTTGTTCGCAGAAATTTTTTCAGAAGAATTGCTTAAGGAGCAACAGATAAAGACGAACTGTTCCTAAATATGAGATTTTTGTCTCTTTCCAGCACCTAACCTTATTATTGCGCTTCGTTCACCTTTGCGCATAGAATAACATTTATTCCCCATTTTTTTTTTTTTTTTGTTTGCGCTTCTTTTTCTTTTGAGTATAATATTTGCGTTTTAATATGATGTTAGTTTTTGTGTTTTGTCCTGCAACTGCGCGCTGCACTTTTTTTTGTAATTTTCTTTGCGCTTCTGTCTTTCAAGTTTTTATGACACTTTTTTTCCGTTCTAGTGTGCGTGCCATTTGTGTACATGGAATTCCTTATGTATTATTATTTTTTTTTTTTTTAAGTGTTATGCTTCATTCACTCAAGTTTTCCAGCGTGGAAAAAAAGGGGTTTTATAAAAACGAATAAGTTAAACGTGTGATTGAATAAAAAGAACATGTAGATGATAGCTTGTCATATTATAACATGCCCTGGCATAGGGGGCACACAGTTGACATTGGTATTTATATGCATGTCTACGTGTTTAAGCCTGTGCGTGGTGGGGTAAGTAAGCACACTAGGACGCTGTTCAGCAGGTATGCTACTTCGCTAATATGCGCGCACAGCACAGCATAGGCAACTGAAATTTATAATATGGGAAGGCGACGCTTCTGACATTTGCAGTAAAGTAAAATAATGTACATATATCTACGTACACACGTGTGCGCAGGTAGTCAACAGGGTTTCATATGCATGGGGAGGTAAAATGCGGTTGTGGCAAACTAGTTCTTGCCGTTGCAGCCGGGCTTCCCCATATTTCCTAAATTGGAATTTTTTAAGTTGTCAAATATGTTCTTGTACTTTGGGTCATTTGCATACTTGGACAGTAACTCGGGGTTGCTCATCATGTTTTGCATCATTTGGTAGAACTGCGGGTTGCTGAAGAGCTCTTTCATTTCTGGCGAATTTAAATCTGGCATGCCGCCAGGCATTCCTCCTAACCCGCCCCCTAATCCCCCGGGCATGCCGCCTGGCATACCTCCTGGCATTCCACTAGGCATTCCACCGGGCATTCCTGCACCCAATCCGCCTGGAAAGCCACCTGGGTATCCTCCCATCCCGCCTGGCATACCCCCTGGCATCCCTCCACCTAGTCCCCCGGGAAATCCTCCCATTCCGCCACCTAGTCCACCTGGCATTCCTCCAGGGAAATCGCCAGAAAAGTCCGGTTGGCTGTAGGACGAGTCTGAGGAATCCGAGTCGTAGTTTTCCCTCTTGTTGTTATTCTTATACGCCTTCTCTGCGGCCTTTTTAGCGGCCAACCTTCTCTTCAATTCTTTTTCCCTTTTTTTTCTTTTCTTTTCTTCCTCCTTATTAATTTTGTACCTTCTCTTTTCATAAATCTTCTTGTATTTTTCTTCAATCAGTTTTTGCATGTCCCATAAATCTTCATCATAATCGATTTTCTGTCCTTGTTCAATATCAGCATGTGCACTTTCCCATTTGCCCAAGTATCTGTATGCCTTTGCTCTAATTTTATAAGCGTTGGCGCTGTCTATGTTCAAATTTAGTGCCTCCGTACAATCTTGTATACAAGCTTTTGGTCTTTTCAAACTTAATAAAACGGAAGCCCTTTTTGTGTATATCATGGCTGATGGATTTCCATAGGAAATTATTTTATTGTATTTTTCTAAGGCTTCTTCAAATTTATTTTCTTGTACTAAATTCACAGCTTCCTCTTTCAACTTACAGATTTCTTCAATCACCTCGTCGGACAAATCTCCTTCTATGCTTGGAGCTAAAGGGGGGCATTCAATCGTTTCTTCTTTCATTAAATCTTCATCATTTTCTTCCTCTTCCTCCTGTTCTTGTTCTAAATCCTCTTGGTCTTCATCATCCTCGTCGTCATCTTCTTCCTTTTCATCATTGTGAGACTTTTCATCGGTGCTATCTTCGCTTGGAATGTGTTCATAAAAGTCCTTGTCCTTTGGCACTTTTCCACCGCAGCTTTCGATAAATTCCTTAAAGAAGGAAAACTCTGGCTTGTGCAAAATGGCCGGGTCTTCTTTACACAGGGACACAAACTGCTTCAGCTCTTCAACTGGACGGGGATGAAGGGGAGAATGACGCAGCAATTTTAGTAGGTGCGGCAAAAAAAAATTTACCTAAGCGTGGCATGAAACGAACAATTACATAAGTGCAACTGCGCCACGTGGCATGCAACATTGGAAACACAAGTAGACGTTCATTTTATGCAATTGCTAAAAGGCACCATGTGCGGCCTCCCTGCTGGTAGGCTTGCATGCCTAGTTTGTTTCTTATTGTGTACGTACACTTCATACATTTTGTAGCATACCCATGTAGGGTTGGAAAAAAAAAAAAAAAAAACATGCATCCACCCATACATACAAACGTACTGTACGCATAAAAAATATCCATATATAGCATCAGATTTATGCGCAATTTCGTCAACTTCTATCACTCATTGTTTCTCTCAATTCTTACTTTTGTTAGCATCCATTGTTGTGGGCTCGTCAAAGGAGAAGACCAAAATGGGCTGCTGTGAAAATGGCGTTTTTTTTTTTTTTTGTTCTCTCTCTGCAATTACTGATGTAAATTCCAAAACCTCGTAAGTTTCAGAAATGCAAGAGTAAAAAATGGCTGGATGTCGAAAAAGGCCTATGCAAAAATGTACTTTGCAAACAAGTTCACAGGGGAGAGTATATATAATGTTATATAAATGGGAGGTAAGCAAATTTCTTAATCAACTTGCAAAGGTATAAAAATAATTCAATTGCGATTATGCAGAGAATGTTAGATCATGCAAAATTGCGATAAAGCAATATGCTTATGGCCTGGGCCCCTATTTTTTTTGTCAAATTTTATGTGGCGCGAAAAAGTAGGTGCAGTGCGCCGCCTTTTTCAGGCAAACGGCACTACGCGCTTAGTGCGTATAGGCCGAGGGAGGCACACGGCCTGCAGTTAAAAACACAAAAACGTCGCATTATGCATATACGCACGTACTTAAGCATATTCCCTTGAGGCTCTACCCACACGGCCCAGTGGCCACCCATTTTTTCTACTCCAGATATGCACTTAACCGTATTTAGCCTAAAACTACGTGGATGTATTCATGCTCCAGGTCACTTAAAGTTTTAAAAAGGGAAGAATAATTTTCTTATTCACTTTTTTTTTAAACAATAAAAACAGGTAGCGAATTTTTTGCCCCATCTTTTTTTGGTCTATGAAAAAAGGCACGGTTTTTCTCCCCTCCTTTTCTTGCTCCATGGTTTTGTAGGCAGGGATTAACAAAACAGATTGGAAGTTCCGCGAGCTATAGGCGCCAGTTCTTTGGGCTAAAATATAGGCGAACACATGGCATAATCGTAGACACATTTAATTATATACAAATATACAACAAACATGCTCATGTTTTTTTATGAGTTCGTTACATAAGGAGCATGACATGCGGGGGAACAAATTACAGGGGGATGCTTTGACCTCTATGCGATGGCAAAAATGAATTTTAAGATAATTCATTCAGCGCATTATATACATGTTGTTTCTCCAAATTTTTTAAAAAAGAAAAGACGCATGTTCAAGAAAGTTGAATTGTTCCAGTGATCCATTTTGCTGGAAGAATGGCCAACCGTTCCATCTTGTATAAATGGACAACCAATGTGTGCTAGCCCGAGCATATACCGCAACTGAGTTACATACACTATCGTACGCGTGAACGTTTTTAAATGTTTATATGAAACTTCTTCACCCGTTCAATCGTATTTTTGCCAAAATGTGCACCTTTTATTAATTTGAAGAGGAAAAGAAATGGCCTATTATTATGTGGGGCATAGCATAATTCTGGCCCTTTCAAAAATGTAGCCGCCGTAATATTTGTCCATATGGCCAGTCGTAATCATTTTGCACACCACAGTACAATGGACACTTCCTGAAGGTCCATAGCACAAAAAAGTAAGCGACCACCTGTTCACATTTATGTTTTACGTGGAAATTATTTCATGTTTCACCGGGTTTGGAAAAGCACATTGTTACGCAATTTTTAAGCCATTTGTATACGCCGCATTTCAGATTTCCCGCTTGGGCATACCGCTCGAAGGCACAGTCGAACATATATAAGCAGGATAACCCCCTTCGCGCCTCTATTTATTTCGCGCCTTTTCAAAAACATAACTCAACGCGGCGGTCATTTTTTGTTACACATGTTTGATTGTGCGCACACACTGCGAGTTCCTTCGCTTTTAAAAAACGCACATTTGGGAATAGCGGATGGGGGGAAGGACTCTTAAGCTCGCTGTCTGCTCCGCGTTGCACGTTTAATTTTTTAAATTTATTGACGCCTGTTGAAAGGCTTTTTATTCCCTCGTGTTAAAGTCCATTCATGCACATAAAAATGAGATATGCCTAAGCTTTTGTACGCCCATAGGTATATAAGAATGGGGCAACAAAAAAAAAAAAAATAATAATAATAAAAGGGAAATGTACAAATGGTGAATGCATCAATGGTATATCACAAACGAACTAAACGGAGCACAGGTGTTAAAAAAAAAAAAAATGAGTCAAAAAAATGTGAGTTAAAAAAAACGTTACGGCGGTGAACATCATCAAAAAAGTGTGGTCAAAATACAAGTCGCATGCACGCCCATAAAAGGGTAAAATGAAAATATAATACACATGTAGTAGGCATATATGCTCATATACACCTACATATAGGTACCGACGTGCACGTTCCGTCTCATAAACAAGGCACAATAATGGTCATTAATAATGATGGGAAGGGCAGTAAAAGGGGTCCCTTCTTCGAGCATGTTGTGCTCGTTTTAGTCCTTTCTCCCATTAACCTTCCGTCATCCATGTGCATTTATTTTTGTGCGTACGACTCTGCTCTCCGCTCATCACACATGGCATTCCGAGTCCTCACACATGTAGTCACGCTTATGCTCATGTTTCGACAGGTACAAATTAAAAGTGCAAGTGATTGAAGTACACAAAATAGTAAAAATTAAGTAATAGTAAAGCTTCACATAATGATCATCATCCGACAATATACGTAAAACGTCTTCCAAAATGCCCCAAATCCCTACGGCACATAGAAATGAGCAACAATCAGCCATAAAACGCAACGCGGACTTCAAATTAACATGATTAAGATTCAGAATAAAAATTTGGCCACACTTATTTTCTTCCTCGTAACCTCCTCCACTTATTATGGCTGCCTCATCTATAAATGCATTTCCATAAGCACATATCATGTCTTCATTTAATTCCCTCTCCTTATTCATTTGGTCGAAGTTATTAAAAATTATTTCGCCATCGTTATTCGATTCTTCCTGCATATATATTTTTCTGGATTTATCTGCTCCTTTAAAATTTTTTGTGTTACTCCCAAAATATATTTTTCCTTCATCTTCTCTTAATACACAAAATTTATTCATTTAAAAGGACGATGTGTGAGAAAGGTGTGGGAGGGTTTTGATCGACTAGCGTATGCCTTCGTAAGGAGGAGTGTACTATGCGTTCTGTGCGTGTTGCTTCGCCGTGTCTTCTTATATATATGCCGTACTGCCGCCCGATATGCATGCACGTCAGCGGATGCACATTGTATAATCGTTTATGTATGCACAACGCACAACCGAAAGGAAAAGGCGTAAACAGATTTGCTAATAAATGGGCGTCGAAAAACAAATGCTATACGGATACACTGGCACTTGTGCCCTTTCCAATACTAGGGCGCTTACTCGTGCGGGGTGAACATATATATATACCTGCAATACACACACACCCCAATTGGGGCGCTCTATCTCTCTGGCGAATGCAACAAAACAGTCGTCACAATAATAGCGGCACTCTGGTGAGGCCTATACACATCTGTACGCAATCGTGTGGTACGTAAAAGTATATAACTATATATACGTGTACGTATGCGGACAAGGAGGATAAATGCACGTCCCTACACCGGCCGACTTGGTAGATACAAAAATGTATCAAAACAAAAAAAATGTTATAACAATGGAGCGGCAACAAAACGACAGGATGGAAAGTCAACCACAACACAACGTTAACTAGCTAAAACGAATGTGATAAAATGGAGTACAAATACAAAAAAAAAAAAAAAAAAAAAAAGCTGTAAAAAAAAACAAAAAATATGTGGCAACGCTAACATACGCCTATTCCTCAACTTGAGGTGCCCTATTAGACATGCTAATCTGTAATGCGTTTTTCCTTAAAGCAATTTGTTACGGCCACAGTTTTTTTTGTTTCTTCAACTAATGTAACCACCAAAGATGAAAGAAGTTCTGCTGTCTCCCCTTCCTGTCCGTTCTGTTGCCTTTTCTGCTATATATACCTCGCACGAATGAACAAATGATAAAATTACTTAAAAAATTATAATAGTGCACAGGTTCGAGTTTCCCTTAAATGGTGCCTTCTTCGTTGTACCTAATGTTTTAATATCTACGTCAGCTTTTTATGTTTTGACTGTGTTTTCTCCGTGTAAACAAAATAAAACCGTGAAAAAATGATACAAAATTACTTTTTGCTAGGGCATTTTTTCTTTCTTTTTTTGTTTGAATAATCTTTGGGTTTTAAAAGCATAATAGAACGTGGGCACGTTTATACAAAACTGATTATTGTTTGAAATTGCTTGTATTCCCTGAGGCATTATTGGCTGGGGGGTAGATGGGGGTTTGTTCAGTAATTTATTGGTGACTTGTATACATGCCTTTTATTTTGCAAAACTATGGAAGTGTACTGTGTGAATGGTACACTATTATGTTGTGTGCTATGAAAAGGATGAATATGAATACGCTACGACACTATTGCAAATGTGTTTCTTAGTTTGTGTATCTAATTCTTTATGAGTGTAACTGAGCGCTGGCGTTTTTTTTCTTCGTTTCGATGTGACTTCCAATTGTGACTGTGCGTATGGTAATAACCGTATTATGGCAAATGCGAATGTGTGTTTTATAAAAATGGTGAAATGCTTCTAAAAAGGGTAAAGAATTTTAACACTTAAACGGGTCAGGCCTGAAGGATGCTCCACATATATATATATATATACATATATATTTTTTTTGTGCTGGTGTTTAGCCAAAGCGCACTTGTGCTAATTCCTTTTTGGAGCCTCCAACGTGACTTGAAAAAAAAAAAAAATCGGCGCGTGCTCCCCTTCTCGTGACATAACTTGTTAATGAGCGCAGGGGCATAAATGCGCTCAGCGTAGGTCAATGTCCGTATGTGTGGGTAAGCGTTACGTAAGCGTAGTCGTAGTCAGCTTAAGTTCACATATCACAAGTCGCCTTAACGCGTGGCTATTCCTTATACAGAATGAACAAAAATATTCGAGACAGCTAAAAGAAAACGTTTTCTTCGAAGAATTGAATAACTGTTGTTTTCAATGAATCGTGCCAATCAAACAGCTGCCCTCTGATGGAAAAGTTATTAAATCGGGTAAAAGAAAAATTGTAACAAAATGATGACAAAATAGGATGACAAAAAAGAAAAAAATTTCTTTGTAAATTGTATTAAAAATTTAATTAACGTTTTGTAACAATTTAACAAAAGTGAAAATTTTTATATTAAATAATTGTATTTGAATAAAATATCATTATGTTATGATTAGCGTATTTATGTTTGAACAATTATAACTACATTATATATTGCAAAGGTTTAAGAAGGGTTGTTTTCCAAGATTTATGTTTTTTAAATATAAAATGGTACACTTGTTGTTGAAGGAAATTTTTGTTTTTGTTCCTTATTATTAAAAAAAAGAAGAAAGGAAACAAAAAAAGGGGGCATGGTTCCGTTCTGGACAAAGTTTATAATAAATAGCCATATATAGTGTACGCATAAGTTATTATATAGCGTATAGTATATACGTATAAATATTGATAGTGCATAGCCTATATTTTCTGCAGAGTGACCGTTGCGTTCAAGGGAAGAAATGTTTTTTTTTAAACCCCGTTTGATTAGAACAATAAAAAAAAAGTATAATACATTATTATATGTATACTATTTATACATTATTGCATATTTTATTTTTTTATGTACAAAAACAAAGTGCCCCTTTAGCGATGCTAAACAAATAAAATAATATATTTTACCCCTTTTTTCTTACTTCTCATCTTCACTGTTTCGTTGCAACATGATCGTCAAAATGGAATGTTTTTTTTTTCTTTGTTTAATCTATTCATAGATTTCGTGAAAAAGAAAAAAACAACCCCGAATGCCATTTTCCCAACAACCAGACATGTAACGTATACCTATATTTATCCTTGTTTTGTGTTTTTGACCCTTCCGCTCTTGAGCAACAATAATTTGATCATTTACACACCAGAGAGAGCAAAAAGAAAAAAAAAAAAAAAAAAAAACATGAGAGATAAATTCGCCTAAAATATAAGCACATTTTTTATTCATTGTTGTGTTAACAAAAATTTTCAACATGCGTAAATTTGTATCTACCTTACCAAGGAGGAATCTTAATTTCCATACCCATGTCTTAACCCCAAAAATAAACAAAATTAAGGTTCCGGAGAAGACTTCCTTTAAGCCGACACTCCAGGATGGTAAATAAAAAAAACAAATGGTGCAAAAAAATAACAATGTCTTGCGAGGAGGGAACTTGTAAACCCCTTCCGAAGGGCTTTATAAATGTACGTAGAGCGTCCTAGGGGGGCATACATCTTATAGTTTTGTACGTGTACGTGCGTACACGCATATATCCATTTGGTTACCTCCGTTGTGCGCGTAGTGTGTCTCCACAGAAAGAGGAAGTAGCAAACGGCACAGTCGGCCCTAACGAATGAAACAACTATACATAGGGACAAATCATATTTGTTACCCCTTAGTAAAATGCCCACCTCTTACCACCTTTGATAGTTTATCTTTCTTGGCCTCATAATGTGAATTTGTAATGGAGCACCATCCTTTATTATGCACATGCACCTGTTCTTAGTAAAAAAATGTTCCCTGTGTGACATATGCAAAAAAAGGCAGTCTGCCCCATTTTGAGGTCACGATACTATGCCAAATAACATGCGCATTTAGTCATTACAATGTTTGAACTGTGCATTGCATTTCATTTTTGCCTTGTCTCAATTTGTCCCTCCCGAACAGTTACATGTACGCCATGGGTTATGTTTATGCCCAATCCGTACCTCCCCATTTTGGGGAAAGAAAAGACGAGCTATGCCCCCTTACGACGCTCTACAATACGTGCCTATTTATTTTTCCTAATTATCCCCTCTCCACTCGCAAAAAATAGCCACCCCAAGAATGGGTGTACAATTCGCACACAATATTTTAATCCAACATGACCTTATAATCTGCGTGCAATTTTGTTCCTCTTTAAAGGCAAATACAAAATAACGCCGATGCAAAGCGTCCCTGAGAACATCATCCGACCCCCCTACGCTGAATCTGGGTTTGTCCAATGTTCAAATATCGAGTACGAAATTAAGGATGAAGAAACTATCGCTAAAATGAAAGTGGCTGCGAAAATTGCAGCTCAGTGTTTGAAACTTTGTTTAGAAAATTCAAAGGACGGAGTAACAACAGACGACATTGACAAAATGGCCTTCGATTTTTACATAAAAAATGGTGCCTACCCGGCTGGCATCAATTTTCACGGCTTTCCCAAAACGGTCTGCGCGTCTCCGAACGAAGGTAACTGCCCCTTGCCGGCGATCACATTTGGTTCAGCGATGTAGAGGGCAATGCTCCACAAATGATTCTGCCAGTTCTGCATAAACAACTTCGACAACTGTCCCCTCTTGTCCATTTCCCTTCCCCCCCCTGCAGTTGTCTGCCACGGAATCCCCAACTTGAGGAAATTAAAAGACGGCGACATCATAACGTACGATTGCACAGTGTATGTTGATGGAGTATTCGGAGACTGCGCCGGGACCACAGGCATAGGAAAAATATCGAAGAGCCACCAGAAGTTAGTTGATGTAAGCAAAGAATGCCTTTACAAAGCCATTTCTGTGTGTAAGCATGGTCAGAAATTCTCTGAAATTGGAAGAATCATAACTGAGCATGCAAATAAAAATGGGTTTAATGTGATACAAGAATTCTGTGGACATTTCATTGGCCGCAATATGCACATGTACCCTTTGATTGAACACCATTATCCGAATAGCCATCCGGACGATGAGTACATGAAAGTGGGACAGATATTCACAATCGAGCCAATCCTATCGGAGGGAAGTACAAAAATACATACATGGAAGGATCAGTGGACCGTGTGTACTAACGACAATGCGTTTTGTTCACAATGGGAACACACCATTCTGGTGCAGCAAAATGGTGCAGATATATTGACCCAGTGTGATTAGCAACAGGAAGGGACGCGGAGCAATGCCACTGCAGGTACGCACGCGTGGCACAGTACACGGATGGGTACTTTCCTCATGTGTGTGAATATTTACACAGGAGATGAAAAACGCATTTTGCAGATTCACTTACACCTTATGGGTGTATGACCAATCTGTCTTGTTATTTCCACCCCGCGGTTGACATACAAAATACAACAATGTTTTTACCGGTCGTGGAACAACAGCGCATGCTGCTTCTATTAAGTTGTACAGTATTGTCTGTACACTGCTGTATTGCCGAAATTATTTTCTCTTTGAACGCGCTTTTTATGTAGCGCTATGTTTTGTATTTCCATTTGTCCATGTTGCACAGAGGGATCCTTCTTCTTTTTGGAGTAATGCAAAAAAAAGGAATTTTATTTTTTTATGTATTTTTTATTTTTTTTTGTTATAATTTGTGTTAACACTTTTTTATCTCTCATTAAACACAGGCATTTGAATCCGTAAAGGATTGCCCAGAGTTTATTCCTGTATTTAAAAAAGCAGTCCCATTGTGCAAAAGTAAAGCTATACACAAGCGCGGTTTTACATATATATATGTATTATGTACCTAAGAACATGGCATGAAGGATTTCCCCCACCTGCCCCTTCAACCTGATGGTAGGCGTAATTCCCATCATCCTTTGCTTGTTGCCCTGTAGGCGCGACGTAAAACGGCCATTCCGTCTTTTCTGTTATATGTTTCACCGTTTGTGAATTTTTTGGCTTTTTTCTTTCCTCCTGTTACATTCGCACGAATTGTAACCTCGTCACTATTGGTACCGCTGACCCCTTTTTTCATACTACATAAATCAGTTTCTTTCAACGAAGTAAGCCCCAGAGGTTCTGTTTTCCTTTCTGCGCTAGTTCTGTGCCCACTATTTTTTAAAACCATTTTGTGTGTACGGGTAACGAACAAAAAAAAAAAATTCCAACTTTTAACTATATATTTTTTATGATAAAAAAATGTAAAAGGTCTGATTATCACTTGTACCAAAAGTGTAAACAAAAGTGAGGTTACAACTCGTTGAGCTTCAGTATACCTATAATTGTGTTTTCTGTTTTTTTTTTTTTTTAAATTACGTACCACTGTTATCCGCAGCGTACGCTTATGTGAATATCGTACACTTTTTTTTTTTTTTTCTTTTTTTTTTGTGACTGCTTTTTCCGCATGCTTATGTGGACTGTTTGGCCTGTTCAAAAGTTATCACAAAAAAATATGTCACCCTTTCTTTAATTATTCCTCCCGATTATGCATTCTGGTCCCCTATGGTTGTACGTTTTCTTTTCATTTTGCTTCCACTTTTGTACAAAATGATAAAAGAAGAATAACACCTAGCATCTCAATGTTGACATGAATAACACACTTCATTTTTTTTTTTTTTTTTTGTTTTCTTAACCCGTATTGTGTTTAACTCCTTAACGATCAAAGGGAAACGCAATCTGAGTATCTTTTAATTGTGAATTGATAAATGGTTAAGTACCCGATTAATATTGTTAAGAAGCTGCCCTTCAGTAGTTTTTCTTTTTTTGCAATTCCCGAGTAATATTTCCTACTTAACTTTATTACACTCTACTTTTGTTTTCGTTACATTCCATTCGGCTTAATTTATTAAAACATAGTGAACACCTAAGCGGCTTTCCGCCCTCAAACAACAATGTCAATTGTTAATGTGACGGTAAAATGGAAGAGTCATGTGTACAACGATTTACAACTCGACACGTCTAAGTCGATCTTGACCTTCAAGGAGATGTTGTGGTAATGAAAAAAAAAAAAAAAAAAAAAAAAAAAAGTGTGCATATGTGTAAACTTACTGGTGATAAAATGTGCACGTACAAAGCGGACAGTACTTGACGAAACAGCAGTGTAGCCCCACCCAAATAGCTTACTTATGTGCATAGTTTAAAGGGATGAGGTGATTTAAAAGGAATGTGTCTCTCTGTTTTTTTTTTTTTTTATTCTTTGTACCCCTACTGTATATGCCCATATTGATGTAGACATATGAAAAAATGGATACACCCGAAATTATATTTATATTGTCCGCCCTTTCCCCCGAATGATTCCTTTCATGTGCGTTGCATGTACACGAACAACATTTTCGTGTTACGTCTTACTTGAAGGGAGCGTTGTACATACATGGTCCGATGTGTCCATTTAATTCACACAAAGAAGTGTACTTTACATTGTTGCTAATCTATTCATATTCGCACTTTCGTGTGGTATGTATGCTCCGTCCGATAGACGTTCATTTCACCCCCTCAATCCAAATGCCCTTTCTTGTTTCCCCCCCCCACCAGCACTCTCACCAACGTTCCCCCAGAAAAACAGAAACTGATGTATAAAGGCCTCATCAAAGATGACACAGATTTGTCCACGCTAAACATAAAAAATAATGACAAAATTATGCTAGTAGGTTCAGCAGAGACTTTAATAGAAAGGCCAACCCAGGTAGTCTTTGTGGAGGATCTCTCCAAAGAAGATAAAGAAAAAATACACGCAAAAGAAAATATCCTTTTTGAAGACCAGGGAATTGTGAATTTAGGAAACACCTGCTACTTCAACGCAGTGTTGCAATTCTTAACCTCCTTTGATGATTTAGGGGCTTTCCTTTGCAGCATAAAAAGAAAGGAAAAACATTTATTGAAATCCGCAAACGATATTTTATTCGATTCATATATTCACTTTTCTCAAACGTTTGGAAAATCCCCAGAGCCATATGTCCCTCTGGAATTGTTAAAATCCTTTAGGGATGTGTTCCCCAAATTTAGGACTGTAAATTTAAGGACGAAACAATTTGCACAGCAGGATGCAGAAGAATGCATGAACGCCATTCTCACGTCATTGAATGACCATACCGATTGTAAAATTAGTGATAAGTTGTTTTCGTTTAAGGTGATCAGCAAGGTTAGGTGCATAGAACACGATGCTTCGGGGGGAGAGAAATCAAGTAAGGAGAAACCTGCAGGGGATAATGCACCAAGTGAAAATCAACCCATTGCAACCGAAGGGGAGGAAGTAGAAACGACAGAAGAGTTTCACAATAAACTAATTTGCTACATGGGCACACAAACCACCCCTGTTAACCACATGCATGAAGGAATACGATTGTCTTTGATTGAAAAAATCCAAAAGCAACGATCTGAGGATAGTAAAGAAGATGCCCTATTTGAAAAAAAATCAGAAATGAACTCCCTCCCGCCATATTTAATTGTCCACTTTTTACGTTTCGAATCGAAGAAAATCTCAGAGGCGAATAATACCGTTTCTGTCGTCACGGCCAAAATATGCCGAAAGGTCAGTTTTCCAGAAACGTTTGACATTTATGATTTCTGTACAGATGAACTGAAGACTCAATTGAAGGTAGCTCGAAATATTGTGATGAAGAGGAAAGAAGCGGACTTGAACGCTCGAGGGGGTACCGAAAGTGTCGGAGGAAACACTGCCACAAGTGAGCAGAAAAACGAGGGAGTGAACGATAATAATGTCAACGAGAGCATCAACGAAAGCTCCAACGACAACACGAACGGCGTGACGAGCCATGAGGGAAAGGCTGCGGAAGAGGTGGATGATAAGGATAAGAGCCCAACGGGCGATTTAACGGAAATCCCTATGGGGGAATATGAACTCATTTCAATAATCACACACAAGGGGAGAAATGAAGAAAGTGGTCATTACATTGCCTGGAAAAAAATGAGGAGCTCCATAGGCGAAGATAGCAATACGTACAAGGAAGAACTAACCGGTAAGAAGAAGAAAGGAAAGGATTCCTTATGGTATAAGATGGATGATGATAAAGTAAGTACGCATCAATTTTCTTCGTTTGATTTATGTGGAGGCTGCAGTGATTTTAACATAGCTATTTTACTACTGTATAAGCGAAAGACCCTGTTATGCACACAGGAGGAGTTGAGCTCGCATGAGAAATGAGCGGTGTATTTTTATGTGTATATATGTGAAGTGCGCCTAATGTGTATCCCACGCCTGGTCCTTCATCACCGCATCCCTTGTTGTTGTGTGCATTTGCTTTCCTACCTCTATATCATTTGCTGTTGCAAAACTGTGCCAAAGAATGTGCTGCGCCCCCCGTGTTCCCCTCTATATTTACGTGCGCATGTGCCTAGACTCCATGCGTGTTAGTAATACATGGCCTCCTGCACTAGCGCCGTTCGTATGGTTGATGTGTTCATTCGGAGAACACGTAGTCTGTAACCTTTTATACGATGTGCAAACCCGTTTCGAAGATTCTTACGCGCAAGTGTAAACTGTTTTGTGAGAAGACAGAAAAGTGTTAAACGTATTCTCTCTCAGCTTTTTTTTTATTTTTTTTTTTATGCCATTTTTAATTTTATGAATAGTAGCTACTGCCATTTTGCCGCTAACTTGTGTTTGCACCTAGAGGATAGCTCACCAAATGCGCGTATGCTCTTTCCGCAGTGATGGACGCAAAGTCGCGGACATGCACCTTCTCACGGGCACAAGTTCTGTATGACAGCGTCCACCCACGCGCATGCTCCGTACGACATAAGCGTGTAGACTCTCAACTGCTATATTTTTTGTGCGACTTTGAAAAAATTAAATATGGCCAGAAGACGCAAAAAAAGTTGCAATGTTGTAAATTTGCAAAGGAGCATGTGCGCGAAGTGAATGCTTCAAAATTAAATCCTCATACAATTCAGAGACCGCTCATTTACAAGTGCGCAAGGAAACAAAATAATTTTATTCTAATATGGCATACACGTGTTTTTCCCATCTCGTTTTCTATTTGTATAACCGTTTGGTCATTATGAAAATAGGGTGAACCAAATGTGTACTTAAATGTGACACAGTTTAGCGTGCGCGCTTTGTTGAAATTTATTGTCAAATACAACAGTTCGTTTTGCATCACATGGTGCGTCTGTACAGTTGAGCGAATAAAAAAATGTGGCCAAGGGACGACAAATTGGTTACAGCGTAGCGACAAAGTGGGGACGGCGTAGGAGCAGAACATAAACAATACATGTCGTAAGGAAGCAGGTGGCGGTATGCGCGCGCTACGTTATACGCGCATATATGCGCGTACATAGAGGACGCCGAAAAGGGCAACGCCCCAGTGCCGCGGTGCATAGAAAATTGCCATCCCGCAAATAATAAAAAAAACGTATTTTAAAAAAAACATATATATAGCGTAAAAAAGTAAACACGTCAAAAACAAAGAAAAAAAAACAAGAAAACCCTTCTAACATTACATGTCAGTTCTTATCAAATTAAATGGCGCACAAAATCGCTGTGGCATATACCATCTCACGTGTACAAGCGAAACCCTATGCGCATATGCTAATAACCTGCTATGCAGTACGTTACGAATTTGTATGTATATATATATGCGTATTATACGAATGTAGTAGTATCCGTTTTTATATACCACATTTTGCACTCTTGCGAAAATAGCGAAGAGAAATCCAAGAATTTTGAATTGCCTCCAACAAAAAAAACAAAAAAAAACAATAGTAATAGTAACAGCAAAATAAAAAGCAACAATAACAGTGAGAGTAACAATAGCGCATCTTCCCTTTTAACATAATTAAATGGTTTACATATCTTGTTTGTAAAGAAAACATTTCATCATCTGCTATTTGGTTAGTACGCAACTTTCACCCATTCTGCCAGTTTCATTCCATTTGTTTTTATCCCGTCAATTTTTTTTTTTTTTTTTTTTTTTTTTTGCACACTTAAACATTATAATACCTGTAGAATATGTCAATACCTAGAAGAATAACCAAAGAAACACAGAACTTAGCAAATGAACCACGTAATTAAAATATATAAACTCCTGTTCACCACTCATTGGTGGCACGTTTTACATCGAATACCATGTGTATAGATATATGCACATGAAAGCGTGCAACACGCCCCCTCCCTTTTTTATAATCGAATACATTTTTTCCAATTTTTTTTTTCCCCTTTAAACCACGACCCCTACATGTGTGCAGCACCTGGCATAGTTGCAGCTCCCGTTCCAGAGAACTACAGACACTTTAACATCCTAATAAACGGACCCGATGGAACACCATACGAAGGTATAAAAAAAGCGGGGGTTATGTCGTAAAAATGAAATTCAAACCGTTTACAAATTGGTTAAGACCCGTTCACGCATGTGTGTATGTCTACATAACGATGCAGCGGATGCCCTCCTTTTTTGCGCCTACATAAGTTTGCAACACATACGTTCCAGTACAATGCGCCTAGCTTAGATTATAACTACGTGTGAGGTTGCACGTGACATTTGTACATCCATACACCCTCTCCATGATGACACATTCTTGATAGGTGGAACTTACAAGCTAGAACTCTTTTTGCCCGAGCAATACCCGATGGAGCCCCCGAAAGTGAGGTTCCTGACAAAAATATACCACCCGAATATTGTAAGTGTGAGAAGTTAAACAAACCAGCAAAAAGGGACAGTACCGTTTGCTGTGTGCCCGTTCAATTGTGTAAATGGAACATTTTTTCCTTTTTTTTACTTCTTCCTTCCCATCACTGCTCCCAATGAGACAATGTCGCGCAAATCATACACATTTTATCACCATCACTACATACTGTAAAAATGTATGCTTCTTATAACTACCTCTGTGCATCCCTTCACAGGATAAATTGGGTCGAATATGTCTCGACATACTAAAAGATAAGTGGAGCCCTGCACTGCAAATACGAACAGTACTGCTGAGTATCCAAGCCCTGTTGTCGTCCCCCGAGCCCGATGATCCGTTAGACTCAAAAGTAGCTGATCATTTTAAACAAGACAAAAGTGATGCAGAAAATGTAGCAAGAGAGTGGAATAAAATGTACGCAAACCATACTTCTTTGTAACTGTCGAGAAAAAAAAAAAAAAAAAAGAACAGACTTATGAACAGTTCACTTTGTTTTTAATGTCCCCCGACTCACAACGCGGTACACATTTGCGCGTGTATATAGCTGCACATATCTCAGTAGCTATGTATATATGTGTATAATATGTATGAATATATAAAGACCTTTTGCTTTTTTCCTGTCCCTTCAACACCGCATACGTTAACTTAAAATCTTTCCCTTTGCATTCCCCTTCCCCCTCCTTATGTACACTATGAACTTTGAAAACTTTAATTTTTTTTTAATTTCTAATGTGCTAAAAATGAGAGAGGGGGATATGCATAATCCCTTTTTGGAGGCGAATTTGGTTTCGCATTTCCGGAGAATTTCTTCCTCGTAATTTGTTACCCACCCATATCGCTTGAATGCAACGTACCAGGGACATGAGAATTTTGGGTTGCTACTTGGAGAGGGGCACACTCCCGCAGAGTAGTTCATCCTTGTAAAATTAGAACTGCCTTTTAAAAATCAGAGAGAGAAAGAAAGAGCAGTTAAAAGGGTAACAAGGAAAATTAAGCAACTGAGCCTTTTTTTCCAGCTCCTCTTTAGTACAATAGCGAATCAATTGTGCGTAACGAGGTTATTATTGAAGAAAAGTTTTCGTGTAACCTTCTAACTGCTCAGGAAAGTTTGAACTTTTAATTCGTATCATCCCATGAGTTTGAGGAAATACATTGCCGTTTAAAGGGCACTTTTCTGTGCTTACATCATTTAAATAAAAAATAATTTTGAGAAAGCACGCACATGCGCAATGCACATTTGTAAGTATACGTGTACATATGCACGCTTGTGCATACACATATGTAAAATCTGCCCTCGTAATGCGGTCAAGCAAGACAAGCTGTGCCTTTTTGAACTTGCTTTCTTCGCGAAATAATTTTTTTTTTTTAAGACATTCCTGTTTGAGTGCGCAAAATGGGTCATTTTTTATTTAGTTTCGCGTAATTTCCATTGCATACCTTGCATCACCCTTCTTTGACCACTTTCTCGTTTTGTTTCATTTTTTTTTTGTTTTTTTTCTTCGTTTTTTTTTTTCTTCTGGAAGCTTGCACATTAAGCTGCGATGAACGCAAAAAAATATTTGCATACACATCGAACGTGCTTCGACATTTGCAACAACAAATGTACAAACGCGCGGCGTGTAAATTGTGATACACGTTGTGTTAATTTTTAAGCCATCGTCACAATTCTCCGTGTGACTTACACTGGTTTATTTTATTGCAGCACCTTTCTCCTTATTTCTTAAGCATTAGTAAAACGCGCTGAATGTACATACAAATGCACTTATACGTGTGAACATACCAACTTTCTGTGCCAAAAAAAATGTTAAATTTTTTTTTCACTCCCTTTTGCTTCTTCCTTACGTACGCATGTGCAAACCAGTTTTGTGTAAAGAGCTAAAGGAAATCACGAGGAATCACCTTGGAGAGAGAAACATCCTGTCGGAGATACTCAGCAGAAACTCGGGTGCACGCGAATACACAAATAATTATATATTTTTTTTTTTTTTTGCACTCTCTACGTACACGTGCACACACCCTGGTACATTAAATACCCACGCACCTCCGTTGAATCAGTTTCCCCTTTTGGCAAATCATGGATCGAATGAGCCTAGAAAATAACAATACGCCGATGGCAAGGTCGGACTACCATACGATGAATTCTGAATTGAACTACACGTTGATGGACTCGTCCATAAACCATTCGTCAATTCTGGACAGTTCTATGCGGATTGAAAAAGACAACAAAGAAAGGAGATTACAAAAGTTAAATGAAAATATCATAAGTGAATACGAATCGGGTAGACAAAGCGTAGTTTTCACACAACAGAAGTATAAGCAGCTGCTCGATGGATTCCTGCTATTTGTTCAGACAAATAAATACATCCATCAGAAGATAACAGAACTGAGAGCAGAAGCAACGGACGAATATAACAGAATGCAAGATAAAAACATCCCTAACATAATCATCCACCAACGATTAATTTGTAACATCAACAATTTTCAAACGGGCAATGATGAATTTGAATTACTTGGCAAGTGTTTAATAAAAGAACCTTATTTGGCTCTTCCAGCTTACCAGGCAGCAATCAAAGAGTTGTGGAAATCGCATGATAGCAAAATAGATATTGATGCCCCCAAAATTGGTATTTGCGGTTGGCTAGGTAGACACCATGTGACGCCAAGAGGATTACAAAGCTCGATGATTAACAAGCTAGTGGCAGTAGAAGGAGTGGTTAACAAATGTTCCACTGTCCAACCCAAACTCGTCCAGTCAGTGTACATAGGAGAAGCAGTGCATGACATCAATGCTGATATTCGAAGCGACGAAAAAACTGTCCATTTGAGACCCCATTATGATATTACCGATTTTGATAAAACAGCAAAAGATTCGGGAAGACCACCTGTTTCAGATCCTGAGGGGAAAATTATGCATAGACACGAAATAGGATTGTGCAAATATAAAAATCACCAAAAATTTGTCATACAGGAAACTCCAGAAGATGCTCCAACAGGACAGATGCCTAGATGGGTAGAAGTAATCGTAGAAGACGACCTATGTGATATTGTCAAGTGTGGAGATAGAGTAAGAGTTTGGGGGGTCTATCGAGCTAGTTGTGGACAAGCTAACAGCACAAACAGTGGCTTAGGAAGATCCTTTCTAATTGCAAACAACGTGCTGATCAAAAATAAAGAAACATATGATACCAATTTGTTCATATCAGAAGCGGATAAAAAAAATTTCCACGCTTTTGCTAAGAAGGAAAATACAATAGATGTACTGGGCTACTCCTTTGCCCCATCTATATGTGGTCAAGACATTGTAAAAAAAGGGATTGTTTTAATGTTAGCTGGTGGAACAGAGCGCGCATTGCCATCTCATCACATCAGAGGAGACATACACATTATGCTGGTAGGTGATCCAAGTTGTGGAAAATCGCAGTTGTTACGCTACGTCATGAGTATCATGCCAGGAACTGTTTCGGCCACAGGAAGGGGATCATCAGGAGTTGGATTAACAGCTGCTATCGTTACGGATCAAGATACCGGCGAGAGAGTAGTCGAAGGAGGTGCTATGGTTATGGGAGACAGAAGAGTTGTATGCATTGACGAATTTGATAAAATGCAACACACAGATAGAGTAGCAATTCACGAAGTTATGGAACAACAAACTGTTACCGTTGCCAAGGCAGGAATTCATACCACACTAAATGCAAGATGTACAGTATTAGCAGCTGCCAATCCATTGTATGGGTGCTGGAATGATACACTCGATATGGGTCAACAGTTGCAATTTGAGCCATCCCTACTCTCCCGTTTTGACCTCATCTTTCTAGTAAGAGATAGTGCCACTGAAAAAGACGATGAACGAATTGCAGATTCAGTTTTGCGAAATGTCACAGAAAAGGCAAAACCAATTATGAGCGAAAACAGAAATAATCACAAAAATTTTGTCATTCAAGCAGATAGCTACGATATTAACCCTAAGGCACAACACATTAGTGTGTACAACGAGAGAGAAGTAAATAAAAATAATGACAACAATCAAGAAAATGAAGAATACGAAACACCAATTTTTGCCAACAGAGATGAAATGATCTATTATGATAAAAATGGAATTGAACATGAAATTTTAACTGTCCCATTTTTTAAAAAATATTTGCATTATGTTAAAAATATTTTCTATCAAGAAAAGCAGAGAACTGATGGATGGAAACCATACCCAGAGGTCAGTGACGAAGCATGTGAAGTTATTACCGAGTTGTATGCAGATTTGAGAGAAAAAGCAGCCAAATATTCACACAACAAAATTATCCAGGGGGTTACTCCCAGAACCTTGGAAGCCATCATTCGAATCGCCTCATCACATGCTAAATTGAAATTGAACAGATATGTCACAAGTGTGGATGTCAATTATGCTAAGAAACTTCTAATGTACACCCTCTTTGGGGAGGAAATTCACGACCTTGAGGAGCAAGAGCAGGACGATATCGATGAGGAGGACGAAGAAGCATATGGAGAAGAAGACGGAGCTTATGATGAGGATGATGATGATGATGAGGAAGTTATTAAACTTTTCAAAAAGGGACACAAATCAACTAAAAAGAAAGCAACAAAGAAGAGAAAGGGACAAAAGAATGAAACAGCAAATAAAAAGAAAAAGAGAAAAGGTGCAACGCAGGATAACGATGGAGAAACGTTTATGATAGACGATGCCCAGAAGGCAAGTGATAAGTCATCACCCTTGGATGTTAAAGAAATAGAACGTCTCATCGTAGAAAACGTCACCCTGAATGACCCCGGAGATGGCCTGCGAGACGAGGAGCTCTTGGACTTGGTAGGCACCATGCGTCTACGTCAACGAGTAGCGCATTTTCGCAACAATCTGCACGCATTTATGCACGCACTCATGTACACACTTAAGCACACACTGGGCACATATCCCCTTTCCACTACCCCCTCATTTTGCAGATCATCCTTGGGAACAAGCACAAAATGCCCCAACTGGCAAAACTGGACATCAGCACATTGCGCAAAATTATCAACTCGCTGAACGAAATGGACGGGGCGCCAATTTACTACGTGAAGAAGGACAAAATTGTGTACAAGTGTTGATCCCGTCCAATTTTATTTCATTTTGCGCTTTTCTCCTCTTTTCTTTTTTTGGAAGTGTCCATTATGACAACCCCTGGCATTGTGCTATTCAAATTTTGCGCTTCCCCTTTTTAAAAATGCGCACATTTTAAAGATACTTGCAAGGGGCCTTTTCCTCAGCCCCGCATTTATCCCAGTTGTCTTTTATATAGAAGACTTCATCCTTTTTAAAAATTGTTAAATGAGCACAAACGTACGTTCATGTGCGCAAGTTTTTTTTTTTTTTTTTGAATACAAAAAATTTTACATTATTTTTTTAACGTTTTTACGAAGCTTCCGAATTTACAGCAAGTGTAGTTGCCATATGGAAAAGGGGCATGTTCGTCGCAAATTAAAAAAAACGAAAATTGCCCCAAAAAGTGGCGTGTAAAAATACGCGTCAATTATTAACACCAAAAAGACACTGGCAAAAAAATAGGCGCAAGTGAAAAAAGTCCACTGCACAGTCGACGACGTACAGAAATCGCTCGCTACATCAATTTTTGTGCCTTGAAGTAATGTTTTAAATGCACAATAGAGTAAACGGTGATTGCCACAAGTATTATAATTTCGACAATGTAGCAGTAGAACATCTTGTTGTGCACCGATTTGTTGTGTTCGTACAGGTTGGTCGCCTATAAGAGGGGTTACGAGGGTATATGTATGTACGTGCCTACGTTGTGTGCCATACGTATTTGCGCAAGGGAGGCCGCTACTATCACACGCAAACGGCGGATCAGGTGACTACGACGTGACTCCCCTTCCTTACCATTTGCTTCTGATATATCTGCTGCAACTTCATGGAGGTGAATTTTTTTTTCAGATTGAGCAAAACAGATAATGTATCACTCAACTCGGATTTTTTTGCCACATTTTCGATATCCACATCTGACCCTCCAACCTCTATGGACAGGCTCCATTTGATGGCTGTGCTTTTAAACCAGCTGGAAGACGGGCAAGAGATACAAATATAATATAGCCCATTCTTTTTCGTCATGTAGGATACTTTGCCTGCGGGTTTTTATTCGTAAGGTGCAGTCACGTGTCTAGTGTACATGGGCATATCTGCATACCATTTATGTGTCATCATGTATATGTCCATACAATAGAGCAATGAGGGGAATTTACTTTACCTTTACTAATTTCAGATGTCTCATGGGAGTACACGACTTTTCCCTTCTGGTTCTTTATAATGATAAGGCATTTTAGTTCTGCAAAAAAGGAGAAGAAAAGGGAGACATTTGTTTTTTAAACTTAGAGGTTCCATACGCATGGATGCTCTTTAAAGGGGAAAGTAGCGCGCAGACTAATACGCCTTTAAACGAGTTGGCGTTTGCACCAATAGGAAAATACCCCAACGAAGTTTCAGCAGAGACAGGGGGGGGTAAGTCTACACATAATCATGTAATCAAATCCCACTCCTTTCTGCAATTTTTTATCTCCACTTGTATGCAAAAGCATCCTTGCCTTGTAGTCCAAAATTGTCATAGGACGACGTTATGATGACATTGCTTGCGACACTCTCTACAAAGCATTTCTCGAGCCCTTCCTTCACGTAAAAGTACGCTGCTTGCACGTACGTACAGCTGAACAGTAGAAGCAGCAACAGGTATAAGCTTATTTTTGTTCCTTTCATTTTTTTGTTAAAACGTGTGAATAGAAGGTACCATAATTTGTTCTTCTTTTATTTCTAATTTTTTTTTTCTCTCTGTGTTTAAGGCGTTAAATAATCTTCCTTACGGTGGACAGTTCTATATGGGTTAAACAAGTTCACACGTATAGCAAAAAAGAGAAAAAAGAAAAAAAAGGAGGAAAAATAATTCAGCGCACATAATATATTTTCATTTAAAAATATGTCTGTTGCAATTTCCCGCTTGCGCTTGCTCACAGCTAATTCGAAGTAATGCGGGTCGTCGGAGTGGAAAACTCGTTATCATTTATTTTGCCTATACCGAGCAGGTTCCACGGGCGACCTGTGTGCACAGGGTGGCCAGAGTTGTAGCACCCCACTACCACAAATGAATACATGCATATATTTATGTGTAAGTATATTACTATGTGTACACATTTACACACGCACACATGGAAACACTTCCACATGCTCATGTACAAAAGCCAGGCTCTGCACCTGAGGGCGAGAAATGTAATATACCTACTTAACGCCTTCACGCAAGTAGGCACATGGATATGCATACACCACCAGTTCTTTGCGTAGTTATGTAGCTTGCCAACCTATTTAAGAGGGCACAAACCAAAGTGCATACACATGTCAGCAAAGCTGAGAACTGCCTATCATACGCACAAGCGAACAACGTGAACGTAACACACGCTCACACAAAAGCGCAGATCAACATTCTACTGATATTAACCCGTCAACTGAATTGCATTCTTTCCTTACCACTCTGATGAAGAAACTTCAACAATTAGTTCTTCGCAATTTTACACTTCTGGGCACCAAAAAAAAAAGAAAACAAAAAAAAAAAAAAAAAAAAATGAATTATCTAAGTATAAACACAAAAGCGCTCTCTTCATTTTTGAGTGCATGAAAATGTGCAGCAGTGCACTTGTATACGTCAACTTATGCATGATTAACCGCACGTAATCGTTGCTTATCTCAATTTCGCGCCGATTAACATGTTCCAAAAGGGGAAAGCAGAAAAGAAAATACGTGGAGTATGCGAAGGGTACTGTCCTTAAACACCAACGTAAAATAAATGTGGGTTAAGTTCAAGAGAAAAATAAAGGATGAAAACATACCATACGTAGCATACCATGCCAATGTGATCAGAACCATTGACAGCATGTCACAAGTGAACCCCATGACAATTTCGACGCATGCGGGTGTTCTCTGTAACGCATTTTAAACAATCATCCGTTTGTTCACATACCAAATGTGTTGAGTCGTTTGTGAATTAATTGACCCTTCCTCCTGGCATGTTCATGTGGGGGAAGCCAAATTGGGCCACACAGAAGAAGGCGAAAAATTCGTCGCGGTGAATAACATACCCCAAAAAGACCAACAAAAAAGGTGAGGCGACTGTTTTGTGGATTATTCCATACATTGGTATGCACGCCCATTTATTCAACCAAGTGAGATATCCTTGCGGCGCGCCACAGTAACCTATTCTGCACAAATATGTAAATGGCGCCTTTGCCACTTCGGACGAACGCAAGAGAAAACCTTATCAGGAAATAACTCAGTCATTTTTATATACCTCTCGTCAAAGTGCTTAACGCACATTTGATTAAAAAGACGAATACCGACAGTTTCATTGGCATTGTGGTTCTATCAGATAGGGGTACATATTTCTCTGGTCAAAGTTGCTTATCCGAAGGCGTCTACGAGGGTACTCACAGTTGTATACATATATATGCAGTTATTGCCCCCCCCCCCCCCCCCCCCTATGGACTCATCTTCAGTTGCACCATTTGAACAGACGATAAGTAAACGCATACCCCTTTAGGAAGACCCTGTGAATCGGGTAAAATGTGCACCATTAGTCAGCCCCTAAGTATCTAAGCTTTTATTGTAGTCCCTTCCCCCATTAATGCACTAAAAAGTTTGACAAAAATGAGTTTCAAAAATTACTGCCCATGTGTGTATCCGCAAGAGCGGAATATAAGCGGCCTGGACTACCGCTTCGACATGAAAAAAAAATTGGTGCAATTTAGACGCCGTGTTTTTAGAAGACTACGTGTAAAGAGCTTAAAAAAGGATTTAGGAAAACTTGAAACTCGAAAAAGCTTATTAAGCAATTATCATTATAAAGGGAAAAAGAAATGGTACATGAATTTTCAGCCCTTAGAAAATGTAACCATAGAACAGTATTGGAAGTATGATAAAGTTACCCTGAAGGACATCCTAGGGTCGAATATTAATACATCAAATGATAATTACAACACAGGATTACGAAAAAGTAAAAGGTATCTTAAGCGCATTGCAAAACGCATACTAAGAGGGAATCCTCATGAGTCTTTAACACAAAATGCATTCAAATGGGCAACATATTATTATAACACTGATGAAGACTCAGCGAACTCATGCATTAATAATTTAGGTTCTTCTTTACTAAGTTTAAGTACCCTTGCGATAAAGGATTCGGAAAAATTACTGAAATGGAAATTAAAATATTCCGGTAATTTAAAAAAATTAAACAAATTAAAAGCACAAGAAGCTGAAAAGAACTCCTCAACAGTTCGTTCTACCGCCTTGGCCAAGAAGAATAAGAAGTCGAGAAGATCCAAAGGCAGTAGGGATCACAAAAATGATATGGCTAAGAGTGACAACGCTTCAGGTAACTATAAAATTGTATTAAAAAGTTTTAACAAGGGGGACAAAAAGGGACACTAAATTAGGGTACAATCAGAAGTGCAGACTTATACGTACGCTGGTGTGTAACACCATGTTATATTTGCTCATTGACTTTTTTGTCCACCGGATAGTGCGCTGAACCTGTTTTTTTTTTTTGTTTTTTACCTGCTTCGGTTGTGGATCACTCACGGGTGTATATATGCCTTGGCATGAATGGGTACACGCTTAACCCCGCATGTACATTTCCATGGGGCACGAATTGAACCGCGCCCCCACTGTTGCAACCCACATGGGGAGTGTTCCCTGCGTGTGAATATACTGTGGTCTGCTTACCCAAGTTGTACGCACCACAATGTAAAATAAACAAAAAAGAAAACTTTCAAAATGGAGGGCATTTTGCTGCAACATTTTTTTTTGTAACATTTTGTTTAAAACTTTCTTTTCACAACTTTTTTTTTTTTTATGTAAATGTTGGAAGGGCCTGGGGACATGCGTTTAAATATGTAAAGACGGAGATCGACCTTACATTCCTCATTGGACGATCTAAGAGTGCTAAGCTCTCACTGAAGAATAGCCTCTTATTTTTCCCCACCCCAGTTTTTTCAAATATTCTCGTCGAATGGAGTTGTACGTGTGTCGGGATTGTCACGTATGAATATAAGGAACGTTGTGTGCATACCTTTCTCGCATTATTATTGAATAATTGCAAACGGGGTGCGTAAGAAAACTTACATGTCAACACAAACAGATTCGTTCGTGTGCCTTTTACCAAAATAATTGGCGTCTCGTTTGGGCAATGCAACACCGTAAACACACTCTTATTCTTGTGCGCCATTTAGGGGACGGATACGCAAATTAGTGCCATACTTTTTTTTTTTTTTTTTTTTTTCTTCAACATTTTTTTGTTCATAATGTACCAAAGCTTTCCCGCCTTTGGGTGACATTTGTCGACACTCTTAACAAAAGAGGGAGAAAGAGCGCGCGTTGGGCGTAAAATTCTCAAATGCATGGCACAGAGTCGTAAGCGCATACAAGTGCTTGTATACGTCCATATTTTTAATCTTGTGTTTGCCCGGGCTTTTTTTGTGTACAGAACGAAATAGCCAAAACTGAGGACCACCGAGTGGAACAAGGCGACAAAGCGGACCAAGGCCGAACAGATGGAGTAAGCCTACTGAGCAAACGAAAAGAAGCAAAAAAATACAACCAAATTTTACCATGTTCACGTTCAAATCCGCATGGCTTCCCCCTGGCCCCAAAAAAACCAAATAAAAAAACCAAAGGGGGAGGCGAAGTAAAGAGTCAGGTGGAAAAGGGTTAGCCAGGAGAACAGGGCCAAGGAAAAAGGGGACAACCCGAAAAAGCACAAGCACGAACAGAGGCGAACAAGTTGAAACGAGAACTCCCCACATCCCTACGCAGCGCAAAAAACATATATAATGCCAAGACATATTTACATACTTCTCATCGATTGCTTCCTTGGCCTATCAGTCACGTACACCTTCCTATTTGAACATGTGAGGTGTCACAAAAAAACAGTTACCTTCGACAAAGATTTCCACAAAAATAAAGTCCACCTGGAAAACAGAAAAAAGTATCTATTTGTGTGCAGAAGTTCATCCACAAAAGGGAGGAGGATATCCTCTAAAGGTTTCATTTTGAAGCACCACAAATTGAACCATCTGCCAAGTCAAGTAACCAACCATGGCGTGGCCCTGTTGAGAGCAGACCGCCAATCCTTCCTGAAATTGAACAAGTTTAAAATATTCAGCAATGACATTCAAAAGGACAGTTCTTCAAATGATAAGGAAGATGGAGGAGAAAATAAGCAGCAGAATGAACAGGAATTAAGGAATGAAAAAAAGGACAACTGGAAAAAGTATTACGAGGACAAGAGGAAGAAGGAGATATTGAAAGATTTAGATAGGAGTGTGCGGAAAAGGGGGAAACAATCTGTAAGAGGTAGTCCTGTGGGTGGGGACGATTCTGTGGGTGAAGAAGTACGTAGCCGAGATGACGAGAGGCAGGAAGGAAGGGACCATCGCACAAAGGAAGCAGATGGACAAAAGTGGAAGAATACAGAAGATTATGACGCATATGAGGAGGACGACGACGATGATGATGAGGATGACGAAGGTTATGAATCATACGACACCTACGAGGCCGACGACCCGCACGACGTGCATGCACACCGAAGCGCGCATGACAAGAGAGATACACACCTGGATTACCCCTATGACCACGAAGAGGCACATGGAAGGAACCTCTTCTTCGCGCACAACAGCAGAAACGAAAACGCCCATGGGAAATTTTATAGCGACAGAATGAGCGGGGTTGGTCCCAATCCGCCCTCAATAAATGAAAGCATAAATAATATCTTCTCATCGAAAAGAACGACGAAAGATTTCCCACTCTTTTTCCCCTTGAACAATAAGGCCTTCGAAAATAGCAACAATAAATATTTTGACAAAATTTGCAGTATCCCCCCAAATGAGCTCATTAACCGATTTTTTGAAAACACATCTGAAAGGGTTAAAGAAGCTGTAAAAAATATCATTTTTAACATCATTGGAAATATTCAAAAGTACACCATCGAAACTTCTATTTTAATTACCTATGACAAAATTTACAACTTCCTCTTGCAAATTGTCCTCACGGGGTACATGATAAAGAACGCAGATTATCGACTCAGTCTTAATGAGTCCCTGTACGACCAAAATAATATTATAAACAGAAAAGAGGACGACGTGTTCAATTTGAAAAAATCCTTTTATGGATTATTTTCTAATATACATCACAGAGGTGGAGAAGAAACCATAAACGCAAGTGAGTTAAGTGAGCCCAAGAATGACAGTCCCAAAGAGCCCAGCCAAGATGGGGAAGACATGGGACACAGCCCCAACCTTGATGAGAAACTCCTAACCGGTAATAACTTACAGGATCATCTTACCAATGATGATATCCATGATCAGGATGGAAACCCATTTAGTTATGAAGAGGAGGGCCCGCAATTACCATCAGACAACACATCCCACACATACGCCAAAAGTGGCGAGAACAATAACTTCCCAATAATTAACACAAAAAATTATATTATATTTTTACGAAAAAAAATTAAGTCTTTAGAAATGCAATTAAAAAAGTTGAAAGAAAATAAAAACATTTTAAATGACGATTTACTTTCATACATAAAGTCACTCACAGATGTGCAGCTGCGTTCACTCACAGACAACATCGGATCATTGGTCCTGGATGCAACGAAAAAAATTGTAGAATTAGTAATACAGGGCATGACATTAAACATTAACAAAAACTCATCCAATGAATTAATATATGTAAGTGGCTCTGTGCTCACTTACATCTGCTTCTGGCAATTGATAATCGGGTACACTCTCAGGGAGATGGAAATTCGCGATGAACTCTCCGATTATCTGAAGGGCAACTAGGAACCAGGCCAAGGAGGGGAACAGGTGCACATATGTACATATTTGTACGTACATGTATACTTCTCTATGAATGAAGTAAAGGGGAAGAAGAGTTCCTCACATTTTGCGCATCTTCATGCTCGCTGGGGGGCCAGAGAAGCTCCTATGTATGTAATGGCTGGTGTGCATCCATTTTTATTCTTTTTTTTCTTTTTTTTTTTTTACCAAATGGAATGAGAGGTAAAATACTTCGTCCTTTTTTGGGTATAGAAATTTCATCTTAAACACTGCTTAGAGTACCAATGGAGAAAACTGTTTTTCTGTGTTAGCAAAGGTTCGATTTTTCATTTTATTTTTTTTTGTATTCTACAAAAATATACAGCTGCAGTTTGTGTGCTTGCCCATAGAGTGGCACTGTCATTGCCAGTGACTCGTAACGTGTGTGACCATTCACACATTCGTCACAGAAAAACAATCATAACATTGGATAACCACACTGATAATCCTTGTTCCTGGCAAAGGTTTCAGTGGAAGGAATATGTCAAAGTGCGTTGCGGCGACTGATGGCACGCTTCCTGCGGCGGGAATAAAGGTTTGAGGCTACCATTCATCGCGACATTTGTCATTTACCCTTGTTTTTTTTTAAAAAGATGGAGGAGGCTTGGGCAGAAAGAACACATATCCACTTTTAGTGAGAAGAAACGTTCCATTAGCTCAACATCATGATTACTTAACACGTTCTTGGAACGCACCATAATGTTACGAGGAGGTGATAGAAACTGCGTTCTTGTCAAGATTTCGTTCCTTCGGAGCTCTGTCTCGACCGTGATAACATTTTTTCGTGTGACCCCATTTTTTCCTACCCTAGGTTCATAATATGTGTTCTTTTCACTGTGCTCAATGTTATTGGCTGTGTTGAAATAAGCATGAACGCAGGTTTCTCTTATTCTCAGTTAATGGTCGCAGCGAGAAAAACAAAAATAGCAGCGGACTCTAAATAGTGACAACTGATGGTAATGGCTAATCATTAGCATCAATGTAACATATGATATAGGTGGAACAAATGAGAACATGTAAAACGCAGTGTGCCACCGTAGGGGGTAAGCAAAGACAACACGGGGAAAATAGTTATAAATGGGTGCGTTAACACATGGATAGGCCCTCACGCGCATGTAATCAAGACTAGGCAACACCGATGTATGCGTATGCAACAGATTTTGCAGTTCTTAGTTGGAGAACCCTACTGACAAAACAGACATGTCATTTACTCTCAGATGATTCTACTTTTTTCATTGAATACGGATAACAAATAAACGCTTTAGTCACGGAGTGCGCACCGCGCACGTCTCGTCACATTAGACTCAGCATTGCGCCCACTTCTACAAGGATCACTAATATGGCTACATTTTTCAATTGGGTGGCTTTATATTAAGAATTTCATATAATACATATCAACACATTTGCTGCGTAACGCACTTGGGGACAAGAGGTAACAACAAATAACACTGAAACCTAAATCCCTAAACCCTAAACCCTGAACCCTAAACCCCTGAACCCTAAACCCCTAAACCTAAACCTAAACCTGAACCCTAAACCCTGAACCCTAAACCCTAAACCCTGAACCCTGAACCCTAAACCCTAAACCCT